GGTTCTAAATAAATTGGCTTACAACACTAGCTGAGAACCAATATCCCGGTTGACTGTGTAAAGATATGAGTCTTCCCACAAGTATCTAGTATCTCCCTTTTCCACTAGCTTACTTTCTTTTTTGTTCCTATCTTATTATTGGAATCCATTAGGATATTTGTAGGTTTACATCTAGCATGCCAGTCTCTTTCAATAAATCTATGATGTACTTATGTTATCAGATAAATATAACTTTATTTGATTGTGCCACCTCCATAGCCAGAAAGTATTTGAGATCAGCAAGGTCTTTAATTTCAAATTACATTGCGAGAAACTTCTTTAACTTCAACAGTTCCTCTTCATAATCACTAGTGAGTATGATATCATCAACATACATTATGAGTATAGTAATTTTATTTCCTGGATATTGCTTCACAAATAGTGTGTGCTCTGCTTGACATTAAGTATATCCATTTCTCATAATTGATTTTATGAATCAACCAAACCAGGTACCTGGTGATTGTTTGAGGCTATTAGTGAACTTTTCAATTTATGAATCTTATTGAAGTAGAGGTTTGTTTCAAGTCTTGGCGGAATATCTGGGTAAACATCTTCTTCAAAATCACTATTTAGAAATGCATTTTTAACATCAAGTTGGTACTGACAATTTAAGAGATTTTGAGCAAAAAGATTTTTGTGTCCCCTCCATAGAAGAAAATTCTCATTATGCATACAAACATACAAGCTAATTTTCTACCCCTAAATTAGCTAAACAAATTTGTACTAATTAAAGATATTAAAGATATATAAGTCATAAAATTATACATAAAATTTGCTGACTAATTACATGCATAATTTGCTATCATAATATTCTGAAATCTGCTGATTAATTGCATAAAATTTGTTGGGTAATTAATTGCCAGTTAATTCATTTGACAGGTATAGTGGCCAATCTTGATTTGCTGCAAGGGAGAGAAGAACCTTTGCAGTCTTGACTTTGGTCATTAGAGCAAATATTTCCTAATAATCTATTCCATAGGACTAATTACAATAAGTTTAGTCTTTAGTCTCTCAAGGCTCCATATGCCATGTGTTTGATAGTAAATATCCACTTAAAGCCTATTGGTTCCTTTCCAAGTGAGAGTTTGATATTACATATGTATCATTCTCCTCTAGAGCTCTAATTTCTTCTTTGACCCCTTGTCTCCATTCTAGATTCTTAAGGGCCTTCTGGATGGAATTAGGAATCTGCACATTTTTAAGGGTACATACATTAAATGCCTGGCAGGATGTTGATAATCCTTTACAAGAGACATATTTGCAAATAAAATAGTTTGTTTAGGTTCTTACCCATTTTTTTAGAGTGATGGAATGTTTAAATCATCCACAATAGATGCAGTGTAAAGTGCAAATATTTCCTTACCTGTGTGACCTTGTGCTTTAGATTCTTGGTCATCTATGAGATGTGTTGAGTGTCCTACCTCCCTTTAGTGTTCTTTCTTCGAGTATAAACAATGAGATCTTTCTTGGCAGGTAGTTGTTGGTCATTTTTTGACTTGAGATGGGCTTACAGAAATTTGACTCTCGGGTAGTCCAGGATTTGAGTGATCATCAAGATGCTGAATTTTTTTGTTGGTAGCTTGTATAATTAGTTGATTTTGGTTGGGCTAGAGTTGTTTGAAGAATATGTGGTGGTGATGAGCTCGGTCGAGGTGGAGGCAACCATGCTGGATCCCTTGAAGATGTCCGATATCCCAAAGCTAATATTCCCTCATGTTCTCCCCCTGAATTTCAGATTTGGTGTAACAGGGTTGGTTTTCAAATAGTGTCATATCCATTGAGTTGCAAAATTTCCTTGTGATTGGAGAATAGCATTTTCGGCCTTTTTGATTAGGAGTACCCCAATAAAATATATATAATGGATTTAGGATCTAATTTGCTATGGTGATATTGGTGTATATGGACAAAAGAGCACCCAAATACTTTTGGGTTCAATAAGAAGATAATTTTGTTCTTAGGAAGGTTTTGGGAATTGTTTGGCACGGAGTTTGGAGGTGTAAGATTTTGTAGGACACTCTACTGATGAGATATGTGGCTGTGAACACTACTTTTCCCCAGAAATATTTTGGAACATAGGTGGAGAGCATGAGAGATCGAGCTACCAATAAATGTCTATTTTTCCTTTTTGCAACTCCTCTTTGTTGCAGAGTATCAACAAGAGCTTAGGTGAATTATGCCTCGATTCAAGAGGTAGGTATCAAGGACATATTTGAAGTATTCCTTGGCATTATCAGTTTTTAGAGCTTGAATCTTAGTTTAGAATTGTACTTGTATAATTCTATTGAAAGTTTGGAATATTTGACCAACTTCATTTTTTTCTTTCATGAGAAATACCCTAATTAGCTTGGTGTGATAATCAACAAATGATATAAACACCATCTTGCACCCATTATATTTTTCACTCTTGAGAGACCCCCACACATTACTGTGGATTAAGGTAAAATGGTGAAAGAGTCTATATGTGAGACTACGATAGCTATTACAGGTGTGTTTGCAAAGTTGGTAAACTTCCCAATGAAAAGCTTTAAGCTTTTATTGAAAATAATTATAGATACAATTTTTCAAGATAAGTAAAATTCGGAAGACCAAGATTATAGTGCCACTATATAACCTCATTATCTTTATTGACATTAGAATGTCAATCTAACCAACTCTTAAAGGTCACACAACTTGCATTCTGGGTTTGAATGCTTAGAGAAAGATCTTCTTTGAGGAGATAGAGCTTAGAACACATCTCAGCACTACCAATCTTCTTCCCTGATTCCAATTCTTGAAATCTACATATAGATGGAAAAAATTTAGTTATGCAGTTGAGATCATGGATTAATTTACTAATAGAAAGTAGACTGCAGTCCAAATTAAGGACATGTAAGACTGAATTTAGGATCAAATCCTTAGTGCTCTTCACATTCCCCAATTCCTAAACTTTGGATAAGGCACCATCTGCTACGCAAACATTGTAGTTTTCTTTGAATGGGCTGTATTAGTGAAGCAAGGTGGCCTCCTCAGTCAAACAAGTAGATGCTTCAGAGTCAACCATCCACGTACAAGTGAGCCTTGTATTCGCAGTAAGGGCTGTTGAAGAATTACCTTTTTTGGCTAACAAACCAGTTTCAAAAGAAGAAGCAGAAGGCTGATGGACGGAACTCTGGAAGAAGAGTTTTTGGAGTACCTGTAACTATTCGTTACAGAAAGGACTTTTTTCAAAAGAAGAAGCTACTTTGTCCTCCAAGGTGGTAGCAACATGTGCTTAGTTTTCTTCATCACTGGATGAGCGTGAAGACTTCAATCAGTGGTTACTATGGATTTTCAAACAATTTTCTTTCAGGTGTCCTGGTTTCCGGCAGTGGTCACACCAAGAACGTGCTCCTTTTTTCTTGTTTTCATTGAAATGGTGGCTTGGTTAGGGCCCTCGGATCACAAGGGCTGACCTCTCTGATATATGAGAGAAACCTTGAATTCCCATCATTACCTTTTTCATGCTCTCTTTGCGGACCAACTTCAGAGAAGGCTTCTCTAAGGTTTGTAAGTGGCTTGGTTCCTATCATTCTTCCTCTAACTTCATCCAAGTTCTTGTTAAGACCAAGTAGGAACTCAAATATTCTCTTCTGCTTCACCATCTTCTAATAGATATTTGTGTCTTCTAGACACTTCCAAGTGTAAGTTCCAAACATGTCAAGGTGTTGCCAATGTCAAATAGGTGTGTTGAAATATTAAGTGAGAGAGGTCTCTGAGGTGCAGGTCATGTAATATAGCTTCAGTCTAGAACAGTTGTGATGTATCTTTAGAACTTGAGTATGTCTCTTTGGCTATCTCCCATATCTCTTTTGTTGTCCCAAACAGAAGAAAGTTTTCTCCTATTTCATTGTCTATGGAGTAGATTAACCACGACATAACCATGTGGTTTTTAGTCTTCTAAACATTCCAAGAGATGATATAACTAAACATTAATTAGGCATTCATAATCATTCTATCTCCCTTCTTCCCCTTTGCAAGTTGTCATAATTGATTGAGGATCGCAACCTCCTTAATTTTTTAGACCCCTCCACCCCTTGACTATTTTTATCCTTGGATTTTGTTTGCTCTCCTCTCACCTTCTCTTCTTTTCTTTTTTCAATCTCTTTGAAAAGCATCAAGGTATGGTCTTCTAGTCTGCTAAAACTGACCCCTAACATTCTGTTAATCCGCTTTATATTTTGAATGACCCATCTAAAATTATTTTCCTCATTTACTTCTCTCACATTCCTCCCTTCTCATCCTCCGCCAACACCTCAAACCTTTGCACCATAAGCATTTCGTCCGGACCAGGCTCCCTCTCAATCTTAACACGCACCATCGAAACCACCGCCAGTGGTTGAATGATTCCCTCTTCATCCTTCTTGACAACCTCGCCTAGTGTTAATCTGACTTCAACTTCGTCATCATTTCTTTACCCAATTCTTTTTCCTCCCAAGCTCCACTAAACTCCCCCTTTTCTCTGCTATCCTCTCCGTCGTCGGAATCCATCTCGAGATCCACCATCATAGCCAAGCTCTTGCGCCTCCTAGGTTTTTCTCAGTTTCCCCTGCTGCACAACTCAGGTTTCAGCTTCTCATCCTGGATCACATGTCTCCATTCGGGATTTGACCTAGATCTCTGGCTTTTAACCCACTTCTCCTTCACGGCCTGCTTACCCATTTCCCTTCCTCGGCTGAGCCGAACCGTGGTTTAAATCCAGCCTGTTTCCTATCTTTGGGATCTTCAAGCTGAGGTCCATTCGAGCCCCCCACTTAAATCAAAACGACATTACTTAATTGTGTTTCGATGATTTTTGAATTCCACCTGACCCTCCCGAAGTTGGATTTTTTCTTCTCAACCCGGTTCTCCTCTTGCTTGCCTTCATCGCGACAATGGAGCTCCTCTCCCCTCTCACCTCCAATCTCACAATCAGCTTCATCTTACACCTTTTTGGACAACACAGCCAAACCGGCGTGGTACCATAAACTACCTCTGGGCTATGCTTCTCTTCTCATTTCTCGTATTTATCTCCTTTGGTTAACTTGGCGCCTCAAACTTCCTCCACACCATTTCGAACAATGCCACCATCATCCTCCACCATCCTCCGGTCTATTGATCTTTCAAAATGAAGATGTGTCTCAACTTTCTCCGCTTTATTCTCTGTGACAACCAAAAACTTCCCCCAGTTGTTACCTCCCATAGCCATCCATAGATTGTGTCTTTCGGTTGCCTTATTCAGACCCTAGAGCTTCCCTCTTCTTGTCTAGTAAAACTTATGCAAAGCTTCCAAAAACCATTCGATTTCATCCTCTCAAAAGGTGGTTGAAGCCCTAAACCCCCGACTATTTTGGCTCACCCTAATTCCATCTGCATTTTTCCCTATAAAAACAACAACAAATGATTTGCTCTCTCTCACCAAAAATTTTCTGATCTGAGGGAGCACCATGACTGCCTCCCTGCTCACCAAAGGATGAATGCAGGAGGAGAGACGATGTTGGAAATGCAGATCTGCTCGGCCAATGTTCAGACAGTTACTCTTGTTCACATCTTCCACCTGTCCGTAAAGTTTCTCTCAGCTCTCTTATTTTGATCTCCTTATATAAGGCTAGACTAAGTTAAAGGGCATTAAAGTAAAACATGCTCTTAATAATTAATTGTAATTTTCCTGTTCTTATTCCTAAGACTCGTATATATCGAGACATATTATTCGATGGAATACACAACACAACTATTCCTGACAATGCTATAA